GAGTAAATATTATCATTATTGCTTAGAATTCAATAATTGTTACGAGTTATTATAGACATTTAGTATAGCAGGAAGCAAGAGTTTCAATATCCTTAAAAAATGCAAGGCTGTACAACTAGAATACAACTGAAAACATCGAAAAAATATAAAATATAGGGCCGTGTCATTTTATAACAAACGGAGCCTCCGGCCTTTATGAGCGTGCAGTGCAGCAGAAAATTCAGCGTGCAAAAAACCTCGATGTTGTGTTAATGTGGTTTGACACTGTGTGACACTGACAAAATGCTAATTATCCTATTAATTAAACATTTTAGCCTTCGGCCTAAAATGTTTAATTAATATGGATATAATGTATGAACTTATTCGCCTCAACTAGAGTCGCCAACCCTACTGTGTAATGTTACTGTATATAATTTTACTGTATATGTTGTTTACGTGGTAGAGCCACGCTGCAACTATATATGATTGAAGCATGCATGGATTGGCTCGACCGTGGTAGGACCACGCTCTTACAACATACCAGCGCAAACTGGCTGTTTCGTTCGGTGAGTGTAGACAAATGGAGACCCTTTTTACTGGAAATTAGGTGTTCCATCTTGTTCCTCAGGGGTGACAATGTGATTCTTAATCGAGGATAAATGAAGATGTTTATGGGCCACAGCAATCACTTACCATTAAGTGAATTGTACGCTCGTTTGTCACTCATTCTATAAAAAATGTAGTATCCTACTACATTAGCGATCCAAATACTATATTAACAACTTGACAGCACATCATCATCATCATCATTCAACCTTTCACAATTCCATTGTTGAACTTTGACCACCTCCGAGGAGTGCCACAAAACATGCACCTGGGTCACTTACATCCATCGAATTTGACGTTCTATATGATTTTGTATGTTTTATCTCTCATCTCTCATCTTCTATTTTTTAACAGTTTATAGTCTAGAAAAAAATAAATTCTATATTTAAAAAAAAATGGCAACCCTAGCGTCAAACCAAGTGTTAGATCTAATGGCAATACAGTACAATAAGACCTGAACAGTCGTACAGCTGAAATCTATCACCGTGGACGTATTACCTTACGTGTGGACTTGATCAGCTTTCGCCTCTAATATGCATATGCATCTCGCCAATAATCGAATATCTTAATTATGATAGCCTTATGACATTTAAGTAATATAAATTTAAAAATATACTACAGCTTCTTATTTATTATTCTCTGGAAATGTTTTCCTTTTAGAAACCATAGTCGATTATAACGATAGCAAATCTCATATTGACTCAAAATAGTTATCTTATTTTATACAGCCTTGCATCTCTTTTACAGTTTTAACGATTAAATGACATGAAGCGTTATTAATGGAGTTTTAGAAATTTTCTCTACATCTTACAAAGAGCATAAGCATACCAATTAAAATTTTATGTACAAAACTCTTATATTGCTTCGTTTTAATCTAATTTGCTTTATTGGATGTGCCAATGAATATAGAATAATAACGGGTGGAGGTGTAACTTAGTATCTCTTATTTATTGAACAAACAAAACTAATTAATTCTAATTAGTGAATTTTAGCACAACTTTAATATTTTTAACTGTCAACATTAAGTTAGATTATATAACTAAATTTAATTACATATACTATTAAGTGAAATACGCGTCAAGCTTTTTCTTAAATAACATTGCAATAACTTTAAGCTAAGGGTTATTAAAGATAGACCGACTATTAGGTGCCTATTGTCATTATCTACAAAAGTGGATTAAATTTACTTACGATAATGTATATAAGTTATATTAAAGAAAAGAATATACATATGTTTCAATAAATATATAAAAAATTGGAATTTATTAATATACAACATTTTTATCTGTAAGACATGTTATCGAACGAAATAAAAATTTTCTTTTTCTATTAAAAGTACCTAAATTAGAGTTTATGATAAAGGGAAATAGTTCCATATAATTAAAACATGAAACATGTTAATATACAGAGACATTTCACAAACGCTTTAACTTCTATATTCACTCGCACATCAAATAATTATTACAATAAAAAGCAAATAAGAGTTTTCTAGAGATCATTAGGAAAACTTCTTTTTCAAATTCTATTTAATCATCTTAAATAAATATATATCACATTTGAACACATCCTTCAGTAAATTTTTGTTCCTTAATTAACGCATAAAACTATATTAAATCAATATACCGTAGCAATAAGAAATAAAATGTGATTGCTCCCAATACAACATATAATTGTTCCCTGATGTAAAACTACAAAAATCACTTCTATTAAAAATACATATTTTCCATCACTTTTTCATCATCAGACAGTTCTTATTTTACCGCCATATTAGAATCTATTATGGCATTAAATCAACGAATCTAAATAGGCTTCGAAATACTAAAATTCTTTGGGCTGAATGATCAAATTTCACAGTGCATTTTTATTTAAAGAAAAAATTTCACGTTTGCAGTTCGTCAACAGAATTTAATCTGTAATTTTATAAAAGAAAACGGAACTCGGAACAACAAAAAAGATAGATAAACAATGCGCCCGTATCAATGGAAATCGTGATTAGTCCATTGTAAGAACAGGCACTCATGCGTAATCAACAACGTAGTTTTAGGTGCATATGTGTGCGTAATTGTGTGATTGCAACAAGTTGAGCATGGTTTCGGAATCACCTGAAATGTGCGTGTACATAATCTTCTATCTTTATTTGTTGGTCTGGGGAACGGAAACAATTACGAGTTATTAATCTGACATCTATTCTAAGCCACTTTCGAATCGCCTGAATTAAAAGCCACGATTTCGACGTGTGGCATCAAATACAAATATACTTATATTCGAAGCCTCTAACAACTTAACTTAATGAGTAATCCGCTAGCCAACGACTATACTTACATGTATATTACATGTTATACGGAAACAGTTCCTTATAAATACTTACAATCGGTAACAAAAACAGTCACATTTATTGTTTGTTCGTTTATGTTCAACATACTCGTATTTTCATCTGTGTTTCCAACGCGAATAGAATGTTTTACAAAATTCACATAAAGTTACGGTTTTGTTCATTCAATTTCAAAGGACGTAAATTTTGAAACATGTACAGAATACACTTACTTAGTACAAAAAGACGGGCTGCCGTTTCTTTCTTACACAAATTATTTACAGTAATAAATCATTATATTAAAATATATACTCTTAGATATAATTCTCAAACAGCTTGGCACGTAACCTAAATGAGTTTACAATTAATTTACTACTAATATAAAAGCTTTTAATACAAAAATAATATAATGAGATCAATCGATGATAATTTTAGGCTTGCTCTCTTTGGAACAAAAATCTTGTTTTTGATTTAAAAATATTATTTTTTTATTTAAGTCGCAAATACACGGCTGGTCCATACTTCGGAATGTTTTAATGCAGTATACAAGTATATACTATGTGGTAAGCCTTAGCGGTAGTATGCAAAATTTATTTGTGATTATAACTGAAAGTGTAAATAACTGCACAGTATTCATCACCCCTTATTTAAGAAATATCAGTTAATATTTCGTAACCACTAATAACTGAAAAGAAAAAGCGGTCATTTTGATTACTTAAATCATGTCATCAAATATTTTATTTACAGTATGTTTACAGTATGGTATAAACATTGAAGTAATATGTACTTACGTAGTACATAATAGCTCAATGGGTATAAATGATTTTCTCAATTTAACATTCTTATTTAAAAAAATTCTAAATTGTCCTTAACTATGTCATAGTCAATTATGCTGTATAATTATTAAAAATTGCGTACAGATTTTTTCTAGAATTACTTTTAAAAATGTGCATTTATAAAAACATAATTTTACGAATTTCTAGATCATATTTAACATCAAAAGCAGAGTATAGTAACGCATTGCATGATTATAATTATATTTTGCAATTGCCCAATTTAAACGCTATAAAATGGGTATTCATATGAGCTAACAAATTTTATTTATTTTAATGGAACCGTTGAATTATACATGACTTTTAAATCAATGCATACAAACTATTTTCACGGCCAAATCTTTGATTTAAAAGTTAGAAAAATTAATTTCTAAATATGAAGCCTTCTGGGCATTATTTCACATAGCCAAATTAAGAAAAAAACTATCCAGTTTTGTCATTCGACACCAAAAAAACTAAGCTAGGATTTTAGAATTTTCTCATAGGTACTTAGGCTAGGATGAAAATGAAATTAAGAACTCTGAAGCATTTAAAGATTAAACAGATTTCCATTGTTGTGTGAAAGTTTATTAGTTATTAAAAAGGGTAAATATTTTTAAAAAGGTAGGTAAGTATATGATATATTATTTATATATATACATTTCGTTATCCCGCTTACTTTATTTTTACATTTCCATACACAACATGTTGACATTTGATTTTTTTGTCTTTACAGATTATAAAACACTATTTTTTTTTAATCACATCCATAATTTATGTCGAATGGAATTCTATTCATAATAAATGTTCCCTAGTAAATTTTAAATCAATACGGGGAATAGTTTCATTTTATAAATTTACTAATTTATAAATAAACTAAATAGGTACTTATAACAAACATTTTTTTTATTTTTAAAATGTAAAATATGCGTTCAAAAACATTGTTCTGTTTATAGATAATATTATATACGAGTACAGTATAATAAGCCAGTCGAAAATCATTACTTAACAAATCTTTGGATTTTTGTAAATGTTTAGTTTAGCGAGAACAGCTTATTTATACGTGATTTTCAACAAGCAATTTTGATTAATATATTTTGTCTATATACAACAATATAAATATACAAAATTTCCGTTTGTAAACGGTTTTAGAAGCAATCGAGTCTAAAACGTGATTATTAAAAATAACCATTTAGACAAATGAAGTTGATAAACTGGCGCGCTTTTAGAATAATTTAATACTTTATTCCCATCACACTTCATCGTTAAATCCTAGATAACAGGACTTTAGTTCACCGCTTGTTGGCTAGAAGTTTCCATCCCAGCACGAAGAGAACAGCTGTACATATGGAGCCTGACAACTTGTCAGGAATTATTGACGAGAAAATCGAAGTCTCCGATGACGGCTTCTCTGGTTGGAAGGTTTCTTCTGGCGAAGCCGAGTCTGTCTGAAATCAAATATGTAATTTTGAATTATTATTATGTATTTAGGTACTTCATTTTGTTGGCATTTAAGTAGCTGGTTGCGGCGTAAGAAAATCCATAACTGATTTTTTGACACCCGAGAAATGATGTAATCATGTCGAATATGCTAGATTTTAGATACCCAGACTAGCGTCTTGGAATAGCCTCTATGGTGTATTACATCTTATACTGCGATTTCCTGCTAAGCCTAACGATTAAGGCAAGTCTTTCTTTAAATATAAAAGGGCTTATGTCTACGAGGGAACTTTTAAGGGCCGCTAATAACAGTTTTAGTTTTTTTTTTTTAAACTCAATAACAAAAATTTATACGTGTTTGCGTCGTGCTGTACCTATTTTATCGTTGTAGCATGAATGGATCGGCTCAACCGGGGTAGGACCGCGCTCTCACAGAATACCAGCGTAAAAGCTTAATGCAGCTGTGTTTCGTATGGTGAGTTTAGACTTAGAGAACCGGAGAACCTTTTTACTGGAAACGAAGCATTCCATCTTAGTTCCCAGGGGTGACAACGCATCTGCATTTTTTTCTCAATTGAAGATAAATGTAGATGTCTATAGGCCACAGCATTCACTTACCATCAGGTGGACTGTGTGCTCGTTTTTCACCCTATTGTATAAAATAAATCATCTGAGCTCATTACGCACCATACATATGAAAGAAAGTAGTATCATTATACGCATTAGAAGCTGTGTCTATCTTCTTTTGAATCGTTCCGTTTCGATGCTGCCATAATACAGCTGCATTGTGATTTCAGTCATCATCATTGACCTTCCCCAGGGAATGACTCAAACTCCGGAGCCACCTGCATCCATCGAGTTCCTGCATCTTTTACAAGGTCGTCACTCCATATTGCGGGGTTCTACACTTCGCTTACCGATATAAAACTGCCACTCGAGAACCATTATTTCTATCGGTTGTCGGTTCAGCCCATAGCCACTTCAGCTGACTGACATATTGCGTCTGATTTCAGTACTAGTAGAATGTATAAACGCAAATCTAACTTTTCTAACAATTTTTAATCAGTACTCTGTAGCAATATAGCAAGAGCTAATTCGCCATAAAGCTATAAACTTAGCGACTCAATAAAGATTGTAAATACAGAAAGCTATAAGAAAACTAAAACGCTGTACTGAGAAGCACTTTTTATAGATATTAATAAAACAATGCCCTCATAAAGTTTAGTGTAGGGAGTTGCACAGAGCAGAGATTCGATATTTCACAATAGACGATTTAAAAATCGTGTCGTACCCGTTTTACCTTTATAAGCGTTCACAAAGCATACAGTTTTAGAAAAAAAAAAATGTCCGTATCATATAACGAGTAGTTGCGACTCGTGGGTTTCACGAGGAACCAAAAAGCAATTCCCTAAACTGTCAAATGGCAACTAATACACGCGAAATACCCTCTCTATCCTATAGTTAGACCAATTGGCAGATTCTCATACGCCGCCTCAACACGGTGATAACCTAAGTACATTGAATAAATTTTTCTATTTTCTACATCGTTACACAAATTCTATAGGTACTTTGATGATAACGACATCTGTAATAAATAATGTACAGAATAACCTGTTTGACCTTTGAAAGGAATATCATCCTGTTTTATGACTTTTAATAAAATACGTAGACATCGAAAAGAAACTATAGTAACAAAAAGTTATATGTTATATCGATGCATTAACTATAGTATTCTATGTCTTAAATAGACTTCATTTGTTTATGAAGACATATAGCACGAGTAAAGACATTTTGGCAAATGTTTCGTGACCGACACGATTGCGATTTTCGTGAAAAGTCGTATTATATAAAAGCGGATTTAGTTGTAATTCAAGTGAGTGATGCACTTGGCTGTTTTATTGTTGGGATAATTTAAATGGTACTTTTATTATGCAGGGGATACACATGTGTGTTACTATTGTTTAAGGGTAAATTCGATTAGTTCTAAGTACGTATTTCGCACTGAAAGTAACTTATTGTTTTTTTTTATACAAAATGGAATTTATTTTTTAAACGGAATTTGTTATTTGGACTGGATTATACAACAATGTAAGCGAAGTTTCTGGACGATCTTCTGTTCTTCAATAGAATGCTAGAATTACTCATCATGTCTATCAATCATATCTCTAGATATCAACTGATCTTTAGATTAGTGACGCCAACCTTAAGATATAAGACGTTTGATATTACAATAGCCAATCTGTTCAAGCTTAGTACAAGGCTAGGCCTAGTTTTCTCCCATGTTGGGAGAATTTACAATAATTACCATATTAATATTTTGAATTATGCCATTGTATTTGTGACTGAAGTTTCGTTGACTATAAAAATTTATTGTTGAAGTTTTAGTACTAAAGTATTTGAATTTACAAAGTATATAATGCTTTTCTATTTCTATAGGCAAAATATTTTCTTTTAATCTAAATGTTACGATAACTTAAAATAATTTTGTTACTAGATGTAGAAGTTACTAGATGTCTCAGTAAAAGAAGCTAAGTTTTATCTAATTTGAATACATATAACCACGGCTAATATAAAGAATTTTCCATTAAAAGATCACGATAGAGATCCTCTTACCATCCACAAACATAAAAGCCCTGTATAATTTGGTTGTAACTAATTTTCCCTTAACAATATTAAAGCGTAGCCGACAAATTACTTTTTTCGGGATCCAGGAGCTGAGAATAATAAATACAAAATCACGTAAGTTAGAAAGAGAAAAAAGATACACCCACCTGATAATCTTACGACAAAGCATCAATCGAAAGGAATCATTTACATTCGCGTACATTTTATGTAAATAAAAAAATAAATGAGGAAGCCTCCGTTTTGTTCCTGTCCCATAAAAATCGAATCCAAACGAATTTGTTTTCCAGATAACAGTAATAAGATGCAAATTCGATTGAGAAATAATGTCCTAATTTTAAATACAATTGAACTGTAACGTTTTAAATTCAGTCGTATATTTTCGTAGACAAAATAAAAATATCAATTACTTGAATTGTTTAAGTATAGAAATGTTTTAGAAGTGTACAAATAGAAAGATTGTTTAGTTTGTTAAACTATCTTAAAGGTTTATTGACTATCCAAATAAGATGGTTCGATCAAAGAGAAAAGTATAGCAAGTGTATTTGGTAAGGAAAGAAACATTTGATTTCGAATCCAGGAAGTTTATTTGGTTTAAGTCAAATTGGACAAATAATATACAGAGGATAAAAAGGTTACTTAAAGAAAATGCTGACTACCAATATTTTTTTACTTTTTTACCCCTAAGGCGAGCTTGTATGCTTATGTACGTGGTAGAGCTATTCTGCAGCTTTATTATTATTATTAGTATTGAAATGTTTAACAGATTTTATAGCGAGAAAGTCAAATTGTTGGACAAGGTTTAATATTTCTTTCTGAGGATTATAATATTTCACTTATAATAATTAGGTCTGTAACGAATAAACTAAATTACAGATATTCCTAAAAGTGGTATAATTAAAAAGAGAATTTTAAAAATTTACAAAATATTAAAGAACACACCGCTGAGGTATTGTTGTCTGCTGTTGATCTCACCAGAATAGAATACCAGCGTAAAATAGCAGCTTAATGCTGCGGTATTTAATATGGTGGTAAGTGCAGAGAACAGAAGATAATTTTCATTGGAAACGAGGCATTCCATCGTAGTCCTCAGGGGTGACAACGCACCTGCCTTTTGATTCTTAATCGAAGATAAATGTGGTGGACTAATTGCTCGCTTGTCACGAAAATCTACATTTAAAAAAACACCGGATTTCTAAAAATGTTGATTTTAGATCAACGCAACTTTTCATCGATGATGCTACTAATTTGACTTATAAACTTCAACTTAGTTTCAACTAGTAACATCTAGTGGGTGAAAGATTATTCGCCCTCATTTACGATTTGGTGAGCATGAAACCGATACTTTTGCATTGGTAACGTTGCCTATCACCAGTCTGGTGCGCGGCAGTTTTTAATGAAATTCGCCGGATGAAGATCGTTAGAACCTCGCTAGTCTTTTTTATAGGATAAGGGTGACAAACGAGCACAGAGTCCACCTGATGGTAAATGGTTGCTGCGGCCCATAGACATCTAATTCAATCCTCGATCACGAATCAAAATGCAGATGCGTTGTCACCTGTGAAGACTAAGGTGGAATGCCTCTTTTCCAGTAAAAAGGGTCTCCGGTTCTCTACACTTACCAAACGAAATACAACAGCGTTAAGCTGCTATTTTACGCTGGTATTCTGTGAGAGCGTGGTCCTTCCCCGGTCGAGCCGACCCCATTCGTGCTACAACTATACTACTAGTATAGCTTCACCATGGCTCTACCACGATTGACTGAATATTTATAGCAGGATTGTTGGATAATTTATATACTATACAAACTCTTATTAACTTTATTTTATTTAATCTCCCACGAACCGTAAAATAATTCCCGAAATGATCGAACACGAAAATAACAATCGTATTAAAATCCTTTCGAACCGTGTAAGCGTAATAATAATGCGCGCAGAAAAATACCTTTGAAGTGGAACAAAAGACTCCTTGGATCACGACAAATCGCCTCAAAGGGATTGGGGTGGATAATTTTCACTCGATACCGATCCTGCTACTTTAAAAAACCTTAAACATAGCAACGAAATTTCAACCATAATACACACATGCTATTAGGTCGCTTTTTTAATGCGATTTTAAGGAAACAATCTGTTGGGTTATTTACAGTGTCGTTGCAAGAAAAGAGGTTTTATGAAAGGAGATTCGAAATGAGTTATATTTAATTTCGCAATACTTTTTCTGCTTAGTCGCAAAAGAAATTGATTTAGTCTGACATTTGAATACAGTATCTTCGAAGGTTTATTATAAGCACATGAAATAACATAAAACCCTTACTTACTTTTTAAGATTCAATTTTATTTTTGTTATGGTATAATATGTTATTTTTAAAATAAAAACCATTTTAATG